CCCCCCCCCCCCCCCCTCCCAAAAAATTGAACAGAAATTCGAATTTCCCCATGAGCAACGAAATCCACCACAGCAGAGAATTTTCCCATGGAAGCAAAGCGCACACACATACAGAGACATATGTGGAATGGAAAGCACGTTGTCGCTTAAGGGTAGGAAAAGCTGCGCAACAATGCCGCGCGCGCTTTTCCAGTTTTTCCTGGCTATGCACTTGGCATTACGCCTACTAACCCTATTTTGCAGCGCAGCGAGTCCCATTTTTGGCCTGCATATAAAGCACACACACACACAGAGAAACACAGGTTGTGTGTGTGCGTGTGTGTGTGTTGAAACAGCCTGGCATTGCGATTTTTTCCCATTAGAAGTCCTTTTTCCAAGCAGCTGAGTGGCGAAACGGAAAGTGCGGCGCGAATTGTGTTTGTGGCGCACTTGAATTTGGGACACATTCCTGCAAAGGACGCATCTGAAAGGATATACGCGGCCACGAAACGAAGCGAAGCGCAGTGCAACACACAAACTCACAAAAGACTCCATAAAAATATTGCGGAAAATGCACCAAATGCAATAAACCAAGACAAATTTAATGCGAGAAAATTCGTGGAAAAACTTTGAGCAGTGCAGTGCGAAAAAGGTGCGTGAAAATGCGTAAATAATGAGAAACCCGTGCAAAATACAATTGTGCTAGTGCAAAAACAAATAGGAAATCTAAAGAAAATCGAAGTAAAATTTAGAGAAAATTCTGTGAAAATATTCGCTAAATAAATTTAAAATAATTAAAATTCGAAAACGAATCGCAAGAAAATAATAATTTAAAAGCGAAAGCGTTGCAGTGCTGCCAGTGTATGTGTGTGTGTGTGTGTATCGATTTGCATGCGTGTGAGTGCTGAAAAATCGATTATTAAAGCCACAGCCACAGCTGCTGTTTGTTGTAATCGGCAGGCGGGGTGGTTGGTGGTTGGCCATTGCAATGCTGGCAGCAGCGAGCGCTAGGGTTGCGTGCCGCTATGTGGAAATCTGCTAGCAGCAGCAGCAATAGCAGCAGCAGCAGCAGCAGCGACGTCGACAGCGACAGCAACAGCGACACACTTCCAGTTGCTCGTATTTTGACGTCAAATTCCAATGGCGCCTTGCAGCCATCCAGTGGCAGCAACAGCAACAACAGCAACAACAGCAGCAGCAGCTCGTTGCATGTGCAGCGCCAGGATACGACAGCAGCAACAGCAACAACAGCAACAACAACCACAAGAGCAACAAGAGCAACAAGAGCAATAGCAGCAGATACACACGGACATCAGAGTAGTCCAGGTGCAGCTGGAGCAGCAGTTGCAGCAGGATAGCTAAATGGGAAAAAGAAACACCACACACACAGCACACACAGCCACGAAAAACCATCAACATATTGTGACGTACTACAGAAATAGGAAATGCATTTGGGCAACGGCCCACAACAGCAGCAACAACAATACAACAAATGCGACTGATTTACTGTGCAAGAACAAAAACCAAATGAGAAAATAATACAAGTAAAAACAACACTTAAAAACAAAATATATATATAAAGCAAACGTTTACACGTAATAAACAAAATCAACAACAATAAAGAACAGTTATAGAACAAAGCAAAGCACAAAAATTGAGTATACGACGCATATTCCAAGCTGCAGCAAAATTTTGCAAGCAACAACAACAGCAACAACAGCACAGGTGTATCTACACCCAAGTCAAACAATTATATACTTAATATAAATTGAAAGCAATTCAAAGTTAGATGTGTGACTTATATATTGTAAACGATTTTAAGTGCACTTTTTGTAAGGCTGATTTTTCTCAATTTATTTCGATGTTGTGCTTCTACACCAAAATCCCAAAGAGAAACGAATGTAGAAATTAATAAAGGAAACAAATATAAATATATATATACATTATAAAAGTGTGTGCAAAGGGAGCAGTGTTGAAAAACGATATAAATGTAATTATATATCTCTAATATTCTACTACAAATATTCTACAAAATCTAACGCACAATATTAACAGCAATTGTGGCAGCTGCTAAAACAGTGTTGCAAAAGGCTAACAAATATATATACATATATATATAAATCTATATAAATATTACAATTTAAATCTCTCTCTTGAAATCTCTCTACTCAACTTCTACCATAGCAACGGCAATACATGATAATTACTTTCTGCATAGTGTTGGTAAATGCCAAAAATAAGTGTTGCAAAACGTGCGAAAATTCAAGAAATTAACTTTAACTACACAGCAACTGTTGCTATACACAAGAATATTGGCATATAGCAAGCAGCAAGCAGCAACACACACACACACACACGCACACACACACACAAACGCACAACAGCAATTGTTGCTGGCAAACTTACATCAGCAACTGTGTTAGAAACGGCCCTCACAACGGATAGGCCAAGAGATATCCTGCTGATACAGCAGGCGGCGCCCGTTGGCAGCAATCGGGCAACGGCAGCAGCGGCAGCAGCGGCAGCAACAGTTGCTACTACAACAACAACAACAACATCTGGCTATCTAGATGCGAGCGCTGCCACAGCGGCAGCCGTTGCCAGTCTGCGCAGCAAAGTGCCATCGATATCGATAATACCGCTGCCGGCAGCCACAACGATTGTGGCACGGCCGGCTGGCACGCCCACGTCGACGGCGACGCCCACACCAACGGCAACGGCAACGCCAGCGCCCACACGCACTGTGAGCACATCCAATAAGGCCACATCGCCACCGCTGGCTTTCCTAACGGATGTTGCCACAGCCACAGCAGCAACAACAGCAACAGCCACAGCCGCCGCCGCMGCAGCAGCAACATATGTGCGACCGCAGCAGCAACATCAATACCAGCAGACGGACAAGTGCACGGTGCTCAAGCTGGATGTGCTGCGGGGGCAGCGGGAGCCCGTGACAACTATACGTACTTTGGCCAGTGCCACAGCCAACAGCAACAACAACAACTGCACAGCAACAGCATCCACAGCAACGGCAACAACAACAACAACGTACCTGCAAATTGAACAGCAACTCAACGAGCTGGAAGCTGTTGATGACGACGACGATGAGAACATGGCCAGCCTGCTCGAGAGCAGCAACAGCAACAGCAACAACAACAGCAGCAACAACAACAACAGCAGCAGCAACAGATGTCATTTACCGCCCGCCCAGATACTGTCCAGCCAGCCGATCATTGTGAAGATCGAGCCCACGCAAGCCTTTCACCTTGTGGACGAGGGCGATACGCGTGTCCTAAGTTTGCCTTTGAGCGATGCGGACAAGCTGGGCGCCAGCTGGATAGATCTGAAGGATATTGCAGGATTGCAGGCGGGCGGCGGTGCCACATTGCTGGACGTGTGCTTCGAGGGCGAGGAGGGTGACGAGGAGGAGGTGGGCACGATTATAGCGACTGCATCGCCAGAGCAGCAGCAGCAGCAGCAGCAACAGCAGCAGCAGCAGCAGTTGGAGGACGCACAGCTAGCAGAGCCGGCGCCAAAGCGTTTGGCGCTAGCAGCAACACAGCAGCAACAGCAACAACAACAGCAGCAACAGCAGCAGCAGCAACAACAGCCGAAATTTATGTCAGAGCCGCCAGCGTTGGCTCGTTCGGGCAGCTTTAGCAGTTTGAGCAGCTTCAGCAGTCTGAGCAACATTAGCAGCGTTTGCAAGCACATTGCCAGCAGCGAGACCAGCAGCAGCAACAACAACAACAACAACAACAATAACAACAATCGCAAGCCAGCCACGCCCACGGACAGACTGAGGCACAGAGAACGTACGCCACCTCCACTGCTGCCCACACAGAAGCCAGCCACAGCCACAAC